GAAACTGTGTTGTCAGAATTCTCCATGAAACTGTTCTCATTTCCACTTCTCCTTTTTAACTGTGCTCATCACATGTACTTAAAGCAGAAGTTAAGAAGCTCCACACGTTCATGTACACACACCTATTTCGCTCAGTTCCCTGTACCCTTCCTTTCAGAAAGGGAAGTTTTAAATGTAATGGCTACATTAAATTAGCTTGACTTTTGTACATTAGCCCAACTGGAAAGGGGAAGCTGCTAGAGAGGTCACCGTGACACCGGCAGTCTGAGACAATGAAGCTTGCTGTGAGGATTTTGTTGGAAATGGGGCTAAGGCTGTAGGAGAAGATATTCTTTCTGGCAGGCACCTGACCCCTTTGCTCATCAAAATGATTGTGTCAGACTCAGGTCAGGGCATAGGATGATGGGAGGAAATTCTCTTAATTGCAAACTGGCAGTTTGATGATGAAATCATGACAGATGTTATTTTAATAAATTGTTTTTCTTAAAAGTTAGACTTCTCTGCAATAGTAGTACATGGGAGTTAGGCACACTGGTTTATGCATAGGTCTTTGCACAGCCAAGGATCACTTAAGAGTATCCTGTACTAAAGGGATTGTAGGGGATCATTACAGCATTGTAGAATTGTACCAGCTCATTTGCTATCTTTCCCATTTTTTCATATTTAGTTATTCTTCATGTCCTTTATGCATTCCGTGATTTTCTTCCTTCTTCCTTCCCTCTGTCACTTTCTTTCTCTCCCTCCCCTCCCTTGCCCTTCCCTTTCTTTCCCCTTCCTTTCCCCCCTCTTTCTCAGCTGTTTGTCCTTTAACTTAGTTGCCAGACTTTAGTTCTGGAATTCCTGTGTGTGAAGAGTTTTTGTGCAAAGCCTGTCTTTTAGATGGTTCACCCCAAAGTACACATGCTCCCATGTGTTCCTGTTACAAGACTTCCCACCCTTCCATGGAGGCCGTTGGGAGTTACACAAAGTCTACCCCAGCAACCTGTATTCTGTTTGGTGGGTACGTCTCGTGCTGTCTTTGGACAGGTCCCCTCTGTTCTGCGCTTCTGTCCTTCGGGTTGTAAGCTTAGTGTGTGCACATATGTAAGATTTCAAGTGCAAACGAGAACAGAGCAGGAAACAGATTTGCGCAGTTGCCGTCTGGGCCGTTGTGTGGGTGCCAAGGTAATGCTGCTGAGTGAAACAGGCGAGGGTGCCTGCTTCGGAGGAAGTGAGTTGGGAAAATCTAAACTTCGTGAGCAGATCTATTGGGCAGGCATTTTGGTCTATCCCATCCTGGTGTCATGATTGGCAGTGTTGCCAAAACCTTCTTTATCCAGAAATAAAATTACAGGACACACAGAGATACTTTTCAAAATGTCAGGAAACAGAGTGGGGCGATGTCATTGAAAATAATGAAAATGTATCACACCTCAAGAAGTGCTCACTGCAGGCATCGGTGTCTCCGGGTGAAGGGCAAGTTGAAGTGAATAGAGGAGCTTTGCTCTGAGTGCTGAGAGGAAAGTGATGAAGGCAATGCCTGGACACAGTATTTCCGGGTGGAGACAGGAGCTCCCTGGCTCAGAGGGAAGTCACTTCTGTGCTCTTTAGCTCTTAGGAGCTAATCACAGCTGTGCTTCTCCACAGAACAAGGGCAACATGTGAGCTAGCCCTTAGGCACTCGCTCATAGGCATTGCTCCTTCATTTCCTGTTTATTCAGGGCTGGTTAGTTTGGGGTTGAGCTGAGATTTTATATATTGCTGGCTTTTCTACTGTCCTCAAATGTCTAGCTATCACTTACTTACTAGCTTCTAAAAATTTAACAACATTTATTGGATATTTGTGTTGTTCTGAGGGAGGGAAGTTGGGGGGGCGTAAACATAGACCTTCCCGCTATGCTCTGCAGCAGGAGGCTGACCCAGGCATTGCAATGGAGGGTCAGTTCCAGCTGGGCAGCCTGCCTTCTGTCTTCCCCATTATATTCCCTTCATTTGTCTCAGTGCTCAGCTCATAAAAAGGGCATGCTGTTTTTTTTTGTTTTGTTTTGTTTTAAGTAAGAGTTAGTTGGGCCACGGTGGCACAGGTTGATCTCTGTGAGTTTGGGGCCAGCCTGGTCTACAGCGTGAGTTCCAGGACAGACAGAGCTTCCAAGTGAGACCCTGTCTTGGAGTTCCCCACTCCCACCAAAAGAAAAAAAAAAGCAGTTGATGAGATATGGGTGAATACAGTATCAGAAAGACTGTGGAAAAGGTACATGTAAGACATAATGCTGGGCTAAGAGAAAGTGTGCACAATTTCCTTTGAGGGGACAAGATGTGGATAAGGGGGGACTTGATGAGGAGATAGAGGAATTGGATTCTAGGATGGTTTCCTGGAACTTCCAGAATGGTACCCAACCGGAAGAGTAATAAGCAGGGCAAAGACAAGAAGGCCTGGATATCAGGTAGCTGCAGATAATTCTGGCAATTCAAGATTATAAGGATAATAGGGATAGGACTGTGGTGGTCCAGTATTGTATCCTGAAGTGGTCCATCACTAAATGACAACCCTGAATCAAGGCAGGGTCTGGCTAGGGACTGAAGGGCTGTGGAAAGATTAGGATCAAGGCGGTGTATTTCCACCCTTTCAACTGCTTTCAGTTGCAGGATGTCTATACCTTAAATTGTATTGGATTTAGAAGCTAGTTAAGGAGGCATTTCTTCACATGGAAGGAACAGCCATTGATGCTTACGATGTGCCCCAATGTAAGCAATGCTTATATAACATACTCTTACTGCTTGTAAAATGAAGTAAAGAAAGGTGGATGCTATCAAAGTCGGCTTGGAGCCGGTGTTGATGGTGGTGTTGATGGTTTGCCCTGAAAACTCAGGAATGCATTGTTTTGATGCTGCCTTCAAGGTTGGGGACAATTCTCTTAGAGTTTGGAAGAAAGCAACAGGCAAGCCAAGTATAAATCCCAGCGGCTGCTGGGAGGAGGCAGAGGGGAAAGAGATGGTGCCTTTCAGAGCTGAAAAAGACATTGGAGGAAAATGAGAAGTTACAGTTTTTGAGTTAGAACTCAGCAAAGCAAGGTGCCCAGTGCGGCTGTCTGATCCACAGTGTGGGAACCGGAAGTTCTGTCTGCCACGGTGCCTGCATCTAGAGTTTAAAGTAGTCCGTCCACTTTCTGTGCTGAGGCAAAAGTGGCTGAGCCAATGAGTTCCCTTGTGACAAGTCGATGGTGCCAGCAAATGGCTTGGCTTTCTTGTGCTACCAAATGCCTACCTGTGCCAGGGAGTCAGTTAGGCAGTCCACTGATAAACACTTAAATCACCGGAAAGGTCCATGGGGTGGATCCTATTTTCTATTAATTTAATTTTATTTTGAGACAGTCTTTATGTAGCCCTGGCTGTCCTCAAACTCACAGAGATCCACCTGCCTCGGCCTGCTGAGTGCTGGGGTTAAAAATGTGCACCACCGTGCCCAGCGTTCTCGTCATCTCTTGACCCCAGAGAGGAAGCAAGTGTACAGCGAGATGCTATTTCATTTCTTAGGTTGTGTGTATTCATCTAGTCCTGCGCAGCTTATTCTGGTTTTAAAGAACTCACGTTAATCAAGGTTGGCTTCTTAAACTGGACTATTTTAGGCTGCTTTAGGGTCATGCTGAGTTGAAGGTAATAGGTTCTGCATGTTTTCCTAATTCCCACCTCACTACACTGCTGTCAGTTTTTCTTCTTGGACTGTCAGTCTGTAAGTTTTTTGATACAGTAAAACCCAGTGTAATATTTGAAGGGTAATAAATGGCACAGTTTTGGATAAAGCCATTCCAGAACAATAAACATCTTGCGCATCAGGCCTTAATACCCATTCTTCCCTTACAGTGCGTGCACTCAGGAGGAGAGTTTCTTCCAGGCCGGCATTCTTCAGGCAGTTTTCGAATAAGATGTTTGTGGGGAGGGGCTGCAGGATCTTCAGTCATCGATTCTCTCTTTATAACTTTGCCCTTTTCCCAGGAACAGATGACTCGTGCAGGGCTCCCAGACTGAATCACAAGGAAGAAACTTTACATAAACCATTTATACTACATGTTTGGTATGCTGGTGGCATAAATCAACAACAATATCCATTACAGATTCATCCCTGTATCAGTATTATCTTGATAGAACTGATCCCGACGTGTGGGAATTTGAACTCTGATTCAATACATCTATCCCTGGATAATTAATTATTCAGGGCACAGAGAACCTGGCCCTGCGATGCAGAGTAATTCTTCCTGGTCAGCGTTAACTCCACTGGCAATAATAAATAGGAAAAGTCTCCAGTGATGCCAGTATTTTAAAGTGATTAATCATCTCTTCCCCCTTCTCCTCCCGCTTAGTTTGCTTTAACTAGGATTTTTCAGCAATAAATCTCTAACAACACAGGTAGGAATTGTTCTGTAATTAAATCTTGCCCTGCTTAATTTCTTACCTTTTATGTGCTATTAAAAAATGTTACATTTTTAAGGAGCCCTGATCAAAATTCAAAGCAAGAGAAATCCTTTTATGGAATACTGAGATTCTCTATGGAAGAGGAAAGTCTTGAGTTTGAATATTAGATAGGCATGCACTCATAAAAAATTGTTCATCAACACCAGTTGGAGTGTCAGATATTCCAGGGTTTTGAATTGCTTCGCTTCCATGTTTATGGCTTCTCTGTATTAGAAAAAGTCTGACACATACATATGTTCCCACATGGAGGGAATAATTACTTATTTGAGAAATAAGCTAAAAACTTTCAGATAATTGAAGTCAGCTTTATAGGAAAGGACTAATCTCATCCTTTCAATCCTACACAAAATGCACTTGCTGGAGAAGCAGGTACATGTCGCCCAAGGAAGGCCACATATTTCCAGATGGTGCCCTGTAGAGCTGCCCAGCCATCATGTAGATCCCAGGTGACAGGGACAGATGTGACATATCTGTTGTGACACACTTCTGTACCACCAGTCCGTGGCTCGAGGTGACTCCTGTTCTTCCCCTTGTGCTTCTCTCTGCTGCAGGACAGCACAATGACGCACGGATGAACCTGGCCATCGCCCTCACTGCTGCCAGGTATGGGGCTGCCACAGCCAATTACATGGAGGTGACGAGCTTGCTCAAGAAGACAGACCCTGTAACTGGGAAAGAGCGTGTGAGTGGTGCACGCTGCAAGGATGTCCTCACAGGTATGCCAGGGGCCACGAGGGAGGCATTTCTTAGCATTTTGCTGTGCCTACATAATGACTGAATTAGGATTTTTCTGTCACTTTACTTTCAGTGAAGGCAGACTTCAATCATATTAATTATATTCTTTATTGTCAACAATGCCTGGTTTAACATGAAAATTTTCCCTTGTGGGACTTGCCAATTTTCCCCTTTTGTGTTAAATAGTAACACTAATGATAAGGATAATAATAAATGCCCATAGAACTCTCACAGCTGTGAATGCATTTCATTTCCCTCACAGAAACATGTGATTAATAAAATTAAATCAATGTGCCAAGTCTTTGAGCATCACTTAGGTGGTACAGGCAGGGCATTTACGTGTCTTTCGAGTCAATCACTTATAACTTAAGATTTCTATTCCTGCCGCAACGCTAACACTAGGTAGGGCGGCTGCAAAATTGCATCATTTCTTGAGCAAAAGCAACACTTGTGAAATATATTTTCTCATAGTAATGTAGTTAAACATTTGGCTATTTTTTTTCTAGTTGGAAAAAATGTAGTGTGTGTGTGTGTGTGCACGCGCATGCATGCATGCATGCTCATACGCACATGCCATAGCTTGAATGTGGAGGTCAGAGGACAGCTTTGGAGTCATTCCCCTTCCATCCTGCAGGTTCTCAGGGATCGAACTCAGGTTGTCAAGCTTGGTGTCAGGCATCTTAATCCCATGAGCTCTCCAGCTCTCCCTTTCAGTGTCTCCCCCCCCCCCCCCCCCCCCGCTTTCCTCCTTTTTCTCTTTGCATTTGGGTTTTAAGGACAAACCATTAACTTATCCCACTTTCTTTGTGTTTAGCACTTTATATGGTTTTTGTTTTCCAGTGCTGGGGATTGAACTCAGCTTTTCAAATACTAGGCAAGAGCTCTACCACTGATCTGCATCCCCACTCTCCAGATCATAGGCACTTTATAAATAAATAGACCGAGAACCACAATGAAAAGGTGGTTTGCTTTTTTTTTTTTTTTTAATTTGGACTTGTTTTGGGTAAATTTACTCAGAAGTGAGGCTTTTGTTTGGCTCCTTCAGTAACTCTGGATGTTCATGTCACTTAGTGTGGTATGCACTCTACTTCAGCATAGGTTAAGTTAATAGATGAACTAATCCAGCACTGGTGAGCAGAGAACAAATGGAGTATGTAATTGATGCTGCTTTTCTTCACAGGGCAGGAGTTTGACGTGAAAGCCAAATGTGTTATCAATGCCACTGGACCTTTCACAGACTCTGTGCGCAAAATGGATGATGACCATGCTCCGGTCATCTGCCAGCCCAGCGCAGGTGTCCACATTGTGATGCCTGGGTACTACAGGTAACAGCATTCAGTTTTGATTCCCATCACCTGAGGAAGAGGCTCACATACACTAAATGTCTTCTATTATGCTCTTAAAAATTTTTTTTGAAGTGTTTGCTGTGGTTTATTTAAATTTTTTTCATTGTATATATTTATGGTTTATGGTTCTGTTACATGAGGGACATTTGCTCACAAGCATTCATTGTACATTGAGCGTGTTCCTCCCATGTCCCCCGGCTTTCTCTTTTTCCCCCTCCCCGTCTCCTTTGATGTCTTCTTTCATGTTGTATGTACATAAATGATTTTAGAGATCTTTATAAAAATCTAGGAAACACATGAGAGAAAACACATAATTGTGCTCCTGAGATGGGTGTAACTGGTGTAATATGACTCTGTCCAGTCACACCATCTTCCTGTAAACAACGTGACTTTATCCTTCTTTAGGATGAAAAAGAAACTCCATTGTGTGTATACACCACTTTTCCTCTGTTGTTGGGACACCTTGATTGGTTTCCTATTTAATTATTGAGAATAGTGTGACAGTAGCATTGATGTGCAAGCATCTGCCCCATGTTGTTGCCTTGGAGTCTTTTGGTAACTATGCAGGCATGGTATAGTTAGGTCATATGGTAGATCTGTTTCTGTTTTTAGCTTTTTTTTTTCAGAACCTCTATGCTGATTTCCTTTGTGGCTGGACTAGTTTACACTCCTGCTGGCAGTGGATAGGGATCCTCTTTTGTTCATATCCCTGCCAGCATTTATTGTGATTTGCTTTCTTAATAACTGCAGTTCTGACTGATGATTAGTGGCGGTGAATGTTTTTTTTTTTTTCATGCCTTTATTGGCCATTTGTGTTTCATCTTTTGAGAACTTTCCATTTCATTGGCCCAATCAACTTAGTCACTGGCTTGCTTGATTTATTTTTAAAACATTTTATTGCATTTATCTATCTGGTGTGTGTGCCTGTTGTGTGTGCATGTGAGGAGGAGTGTTCATGCACAAACATGCACATGCAGGTATGATCATGTGCAGGTGTGCATGCATGCTGCGATAGCATGTGTGTGGAGGTCAGAGGACAGTTTGTGTGAGTCAGTTCTCTCCTTTTATCTGGGTCCAGGTGTTAAAACTCAGGTCATCAGTCTTGGCAGCAGACAACCTTTACCTGCCTCTGATTTGTTTGTCTGTTATTTTTTGAGTTTTTGTATATTCTAAAATTGAGTATTTTGTTAGACATATAACTAGCAAGAAATTTTTCCCATTCTGCAGACATTCTTCTCTGGATTAACTGTCTCCTTTGCTATGCAGTTTTCAGTTTCATGAAATCCCATTTGCCCACTGGCATTATTTACTGAACTACTGGAGTCCTATTGAAAATGTCCTTGCCTGTGCCTGTATCTTGAAGTCTTTTCCTCCTATAACATCAGAGTTCCATGTCTTACATTAATGTCTTTGACCTATTTGAATTGTTTTGTGTATTTGGATATCCAGTTTTACCATTTGTGGAAGGGGCTCTCTTGTCTCTCGTGTATATTTTTGGCATTTTTGTCAGAGATCACATGGCTGTATTTGAGTAGATTTTTAGTCGTGTTCTCTATTCTCTATCTAAATTATTGTTACTAATTACCATTAATATATAAGATATCTGTGGAAAAAAGTGTCTAAGCCTATGCTAAGAGTACAGATCATCTAGTAAGTAATAATTCTTCATGAAATAGCTTACATACAAAGTTGTTCATTTTGACATTATTGAGAAAGATTAGAAACTACTTCAGTTCTACCTTGGAGAAATAAATAAACTACAGCTTATTTACACAAGGGAGTATTATATACCATTAAAAATATGACTTCAAATAACTTTAGAAGGCTAGAAGTACACTAATGATACAATGTCACTCAAAATACACACCTAGAGCGTGTGCAGTAGGATCTGAGAAATACATGTGTCTACAAATTTTCTGTAAAGATCAGAAACATGTTGAACATTAATCTCTAGATCCCATGGATCTGGATGAAAATGTTCTATAAAGGTTTTAAATATCTGAGGAAGTAGGCACCTAGGAACACCATGTATGTTGTTTAACCACCCATGTTTTTCTAGTCTGTTAGCCTGTTTACATGGTGAGAACACAGATGCAGCTTTTATCCTCACTGCTGAGATTTTTCTACATCTCTCTCCCCCCTCTTTCCTCCTTGCCTCTCTCTTCTTTTTATTTATTTATTTATTTATATTTTTAATTTTTTTGGTTTTTTTTTTTTCAAGACAGGCTTCTCTGTAGTTTTGGTGCCTGTCCTAGATCCTGCTCTGTAGACCAGGCTGGCCTCGAATTCACAGAGATCCACCTGGCTCTGCCTCCCCAGTACTGGGATGGAAGGTGTGCACCACTACTGCCCGGCTCTCTGTTCTTTTTAAACGGAGTTTCAGCTGTAGACCAGGCTGGCTTCAAACTCTAGATCCTGCTGTCTCACCTTCTGGGATGGTCCTGGGATTGCAGGCCTTTTCTGTTCAGTAGCCCTCGTAGGTCTTACGTTTTCTTCACTGTTATATCACTCATCCACAGAGGTCTTAGGTTAATGCTGACGCTTTAGTCATGTCTTTTGAGGCAAACCTGATTTTCTGAACCCTAGTTTCTCCATTATTGGAAAAGGACTCACCATGCTCTTGTAGAGTGATTAGATAAGGAAAGGAAGTTACTACACTGACATTGAACTTCCTGTGCTGGCTACTACTTTACCTTCCTGTCAGCACGGGCCCCTGATGAAGCTACTGTGAACTTCCGATTCTGTATCATCTTAGCACATCATTTGTGCACAAAGTTTGGTAAGGATCTGTTTTGAGACAGCATCTAATCTGTTGTCCAGAATGGCTTCAAATTCCTACATTCCTTTTGACTCCACCTCCTAAGAATTGGGATTGCAAGCATCAGCTTTATCTGTTTTGTTAACTGCTATGTCTTTATGTCTGATTAGTGTAGAAACTTGATGACTTTAGTAGCCGTAGATTTTTGGAATGTAGGCTAGTAGATAAAGAGTTAAGGTTGTATATCCATTGTTTCTTTTTGGGTTATTTGCAGAAGTATCTTTATGGAATAATAAAATTTGGTATAATCCTAACACTCCAGTAACAGCTCTTAGGCATGTGTTTGGGGGAAGTAGGGATGGTTAGTAATAGTTTTTAGAGATTTATTTTCTTTTACTGTATTGGTGTTTGCCTGCATGTATGTCTCTGCATCACATGCATGCTTAGAGCCTGTGGAGTCAAGAAGAAGGTGTTGGATTCCCTGGTCTTGGAGTTACTGATGGATTCAGTACACTAGGTACTGATTGATTCCATACACCGTGTAGGCACTAGGAATCAAACCTGGATCCCTTTAAAGAGCGTCCAGTGCTGTTAATCACTGAGCCATCTCTCTAGCCCCAGAAGAACTATTTTAACTTCAGAAAACGCTATATACAGAAATCATTTTTGTAAATTTACTCTTAAAATCCAATTTTTTGATTTAAGAATTTTCCTCAGAATTGTGGTTTCTTCCAAAAGCAACACTAGCACTCCAATTGACTGCAGTATGTGAATGTAATCACCTCTTCCTTTCAGGCTGCTTTTTACTACTGACAAGAGGTCAATTTTTTCCCCCTGTAATGTGTGTACATACTGTTAGCTCTAACACTGATTGCTAAGTGGTTAACAATAAATTGATTTCAGTTTAACTAAGGGTTCTTCAGGAAAGCAATGGTCTGCATGAGAAAAATGTTCATTACCTTTAATCCTAGACACACACATAAATTAGCAAGCTTCCCCCGCTGATGCCAAATGAATCATACAGATTGAAAAGCGCCGTGCGCCTCTCACGTTGTACTGTCACAAGAGCTGACTCTTTGGGGTGACCTTGCAGAACTAATCCTTCATAAGAAAACAAACTTTTCCTCAAGGGAGACTATGAATTAGGTAATTTAGAACTGATGAAAGATACTTCCAAGTGGATTCTGAAAATTTTATACCGTTTGCGAGTAGTTCTGTCTTCCCTCTGTGCTTGTTAATTTTATGCTGGGCACATATGTCTTCACTTAAGCAGCTGATTCTCTACAGGTTCCAGGTACATGTCGCCTGGTAACTGTCACCTTCACCCTTTCAATGGCTTTTATTGCAGTGGAAGTTTTTGAGGGTCTAAGTAGTTGTACTTTTTCGACTATACTTCCTACCCAGGTCACTCAATAGTAGAATCGTACACGTAAGTTTATCATTTGTGTTATTTAAAACCTTCCATGGGTTTTCCAGTTTGTGAGATGGTTGTATGTAAACTATGTCACCATGAAATTTCTCTGACGTTTCTCACATGTTTTGTTTCAACAAAAGGCCATTTATCAAACCATAGCTTGGAATTTGAAGTTAGTGTCCAACCTAAAGTGACTGGTGGTTTAATCTAAGGGGACATCAATTTGGAGCCCCCTCCAAAATTTTGTAAGACATGAGATTGACTAGGAATTGTTAAATCCTTTTTAGAGAGGAAAAAAAAATATTGGACACTGGTTTTCAGCATGTTAGAGTGAAATTTACTTCTCCTCTGGGACCCTGGCTGGTGGTAGGAACCTTAGGGAAAGGATAGATTTTGAATGAGCAGTACTCTTCCCTGGGCTCTTTGAATTTAGAACGCAAAGCTTTGCAGGACTGGCAGCCTTGCAGAGAAAGACTGGTCCTCCCCATAGTTTACATAAAGAAGAGGCACTCATGGAGCTGATCAGAGATTTCTGTTTTATGTAAAATATTTTTGGTTTGCTTTTTAACAGTTGTTAGCCTCTCATCTCCCTACCCATTTGAATAAATCTTTGAAATGTTTTAAGGGTATAATAAACATAAGAAGTCTAATGCATGCTCTTTAAATACATTTGTGTAAGAGAGATTTCTTGAAAATCACTTAAACCGAATGTGATTGTTTCCCGCCTAAGGAATTTCATTGCAGAACATACCTTTAACTCTAGCTCTCTGGGAAAATTCAGTCAAATGTGACAGCTATGTAAAGATTTCTACTACTCGATTTGAATATGACACTTTTCCGGATCCTTTCCACTTCTTTGACAACTTCACATTTTCTTGAAAGTGTACATTCAAACAATAGTTTGTAGGCAGCGACCCAAGGATTTTATTTTTTAATGTAATTTTTTTATCTTAGGCCAGTGAGTTTGTTGTCTGCGAGTGTGTCTATGCACCTTGAGCATGCTGGTACCCAGGGAGGTCAGAAGAGGGCGTCCTTTCCCCTGGAACTGTACTTATCTATGTGATGAGCTGCCACATAGGTACTGGGACTTGAACAGTGATCATCTGGAAGAAGGGCTAGTGCTCTTAACTGCTGAGCCATCTCTCCAGCCCCATCTACGGGTTTTATTAATGTTTGCTTACAGTTGCCCATTCTTTCAAGAGTATTTGTGTTTAATTTGTACAGCATATGTTAGTGAAAATTCTTGGCTAAGATTTAGAAAGATTTTTTTTATCTGTGTGAAGGGCTTGTCTTTCACTTTAATTATTGGCATAATACATTAGTGTCTTCTGTTTGGAAGATTCTAGTTGCTAACCTATTCCTCTCCATTTGGCCCGACCAATAGCTGCTATTTAGCAAATAAGCAAAAACAAACAAACAAAAGACCATCCTCTTTTTTTCTCCATATACTTGTTGACACTCCTGTCACTTGGACAAAGTGGCACAAGTCAAGAAACAAAGGCCTTACTTGGTGATTCCATTTTAGTTTCCAGAAAGTTTGGCTTTGCTTTCTCATGTACTTCTCAGGTTTTCTACCGTGGGTTTTGCAAAATGTCAAGTGTCCCAGGAAAATACTTTTCATAGACTCCAAGAAAGGTTGAAGAGTCATCGTTAATTGGCCATAGTAAAAGAAATTATAGGCATTTATTCCACTGACATTATCTAATGTGAATGGTCCAAAGTGTAAAAACCAAAACAACTGAAAGACGATTGATGAGCCTTGCACTGTTAGAGGAGACGGTTGCAGGATGATATTACCACATTTGCTCAGTTCCTTATTTTTACTGTTTTGTTTTTTTTTTTAATTTTAGGAATGTCTATGGATTAGGATGGAATAAGTAGTTCACTTCTTTATTTTGCTTATTTGAACATTAATGCCAAACAAAAAATAAATTAGTTTCTTTTTACTTCAGCCCTGAAAGCATGGGACTTCTTGATCCTGCAACCAGTGATGGGAGAGTTATTTTCTTCTTGCCTTGGCAGAAGATGACTATTGCTGGCACTACTGATTCAGCAACAGAACTCACACATCATCCTATTCCTTCAGAAGACGACATCAACTTCATCTTGAATGAAGTGCGCAACTACCTGAGTTGTGATGTTGAAGGTAACGTAAGTGTTCCTGTAATGTTTCTTCCCTCTTTGATAGCTACCAGACTTTTCCAGGCCTTTCTTGCCTCTAGTTTGAAACATCACCACACCTTGAATGCTATAATCCTTAGCTTTCCCTCCCCTCCCCTCCCTTCCCCTCCTCCATTAATCACTAATTAAGAAAATGCTCTATAGGCTTACCTATAGCCCTTTCTTATGGGGGCATTTTCCCCTTTGAGGTTCCTCCTCTCAGATGATTCTAGCTTGTGTCAAGTTGACATAAAACTGGCTAGCACACCTAGAACACCATGCATCCCTTTTCCCATTTTATCTCTCTGGCTATTGGCCAGTTTTATGTCTGTACCTCCTCCTACTCCCAGACAGAATATTATTGTGTAGCCCAGGCATGCTTTGAACTCATAACAATTCTACTGTCTCAGTTTCTCTAGTGGAATTATGGGAGTATGCCATCACATCTGGTTCAACTGTGTCATTTCATACTTAGACAGTTGGAAGTGGCCCTTAAATGGCTTCTTTGTTTTTATCTACCTTCCCCCCACTTCCATGTGTTCTATGGTCTAATGGTTGTATTATTTATCCTTACTAAGTTAGGTAATATACATTTAAGCCCTGTCCCTTTGTTTCAGTGATGACTTCTGAGCTTTCCTTTGTATCATCACCGTATCTTGGCATAATATTTATACTTCAGGACATCACCTGTCTTTCAGGGGCAGCGGTTATACTAGCATATCACAACCATATGTTCCAGCACTAGTCTACGATGTGTTCTTGGAGCTCCCCATGGGAAGGGAGTCTTTGTCCACAAAACTTGTTAGCTAGTTGACATGTTACTACTCATGACTCTTTTGAGCAAAAGTAGATTAGTTAGCTATTGGTGGTTTTGGGGGATTTTATTTTACAATTTAATAAATCTCTTTGATTGCAGATATTACAACAATGGTAGATTCAGTAGTTTAATCAGCTTTCATTAAAGAGTTGTCAAATCAAAAAGACCATGTTCTGTGTATCCACATTTCCAGGACTGTTGGTGGACTGGGCGTACTTCACTTCAGTAGCTATACCTGTGGTAATGACACTCCAAGGTATATATAGTGGGCATGAGTGAGTGTTTCCATGAGAGAAGATATCTCTCAGCTCAGTATGCATTGCCATGGGCCGTCTTGAAACATAAGCACATTGATCCATTGAACCTTTCACATTTAGGTGGTTTTCTTGCAATACCCTTGCCAACAAAGCAGATTTTAGTGACCATCTTCTTCCATGCTTTGTGTGTGTATGTGTTTGTGTCTTGTTTGATTTCTTCCTGAGGATGAAATCACTTTCTCACCTTCTCTTTTTGCTTATGCTGAACTACGTTGGGAAGGGCACTCTGCTTGTGGTAGAGCTCAGCCTTCAGAACTAAAGTTACTTTGGGACTTCTTTGAATGTTCGTGAGTCTTTCCATTTTTCTTTTCTTTCCTTCTTTCCCTCTCATGGTAATCCAAATGATCTCCATAGCATTCACCATGTAGTTCAATGTTCTCATTCTGTGGTAGTGATAACCACATAGCCATTGGCTGCAGCCTCCAGGCTACGAAAAAGCTTTCAACATTTGGGGTCTCAGAGACCCACTCACTGATTTGCCGCACCTCAATCAGGAAGCTGAGGATTTGGTAGTGACATTACTTTTGCCATCTTTCCATGATCAAGGAGACGGCTTAATGGTTTAGAAAAACAGTCTTCATCTATTTGTATGAGTGGTCTTACAATGTTGGTTGGCTTCAGTGGAGGAAATACAGACACCATTTTTATCTGGATGCAGCTCACTAGCATTTACGAATCCTTCTTCCCTATATTGTTGTTCCATTGTATAATCATGTATTGAACTAGTCAAAGAGCTCTAGAGAATGGTTCAGATTATTGTCTTAGTTTAATGGATTTGTCCATATTGTATATTATTAGTTACTTCTAATTTAAAGTAATGTATATAATTCTACCCTGAATAGAATCTCTTTGGATATTTGCAACAATAACATACAATTATTAAATAAATGTGATTAATTTTTACAACCAGTCTCTATGTTCAACACGTACTACCTGGAGGCAGCTATGCTTTGTTTAACGTCTCTATTTAAGTATCTTAAACCTCCTTGTAATTTAAATTTAATCTTTTGCTTGTCCATTGTAGATCTGGATGGAGCTTAGATGTCTGGCTATGATTGTGTTTCAATATGATAATAATTCCCCACTCCTTTTTGTATTTGCTTGTATATAAAGTTTGTCAAGAGTAGGATTATAGATGTCCTCTAAGATTGTGAGAACAAAGTATAGAAGGAATTCAAGAGGAGACAAGAGTACGGACACTTTCTTAGGCCTTCTTCCCAGGTACATGCAGTAAGGACGAGAAACCCGACCGCTTCCTGTGCTGTCAGATTGGCTGTGCTAGAGGCAGCGGTGGGTCCTGGAAAGCCACTGTGTCCAGGATGAATGTGAAAATCTGCCCCGATAGGAGCTTTGACATCTGACAGAGGTGGTGGCACTTTTACCCTACCTATAAGTAGAGAAGACTTGGCTGTTCCCGCTAGAGTCCTCTTCAAATCCCTTATCCTGTGGTTATCAGGGAAGTGGAGAAACTCACAAAGACGACTTCTTAATTCGAATGTTTACAAAAGTGGTTGAATACTACTGAGCAGGCTTTTTTCCCGTGCCCTGATGAGACTATGTGTCCTTTAGGTTTAGTATCCAGGGGTGACAGCTCTGTCAGCTGTATGCACCTTTCCTCTTAAGTTTACACTTTAAAAATTTAATGAAGAGTCCTCCTTCACAGTTTCTTTGCATTCTCATTTCCAGTTGACTGGACTCCCCATATTTGAGAAATCATACTTAGACCTGATAAAGGGGAACAGTTGGCCGAAGCTCCCTGTATCTTACGGTGAAGACTTTCATAGTCGTGGGCTTTCTCTAGGTATTTTGGTGGAATCCAGTAGCCTCTTATGTACTAATGAAATGTGAAAGAAACAAGCGTTGTCATCTCCAGACACTTTTAGAATTGTCTCTTTGTGCTGTCTTTCCCAGCTCTGCTGTCATGGAGTATTGTACGTGTCAGACACACTGCTTTTCAAGCATGTTGTCAGTCTCTCCCTCCTTCCTTCTAAGAGAGATGTATTGCCTGCATTAGTTGAAGCTGAGGGACAGTGACTTTTTTTCCCTCCCAGCTTGATAGTATTGGGGTGTGATGAGTCTTAAGGAAATCTGACTCTGATATGACCATCTAAATACTGTACAGTACTTTGGTTAGTGGTTCTGGATTATACGATGTGATATGGGGTCCGGTACAGACTGGATTAAGTAGTTTTTCTGTTCATTTTAAGGAAGCCATCAGATACCTTTAGAATGATGTATGCCTGCATATGGTGTGTGTGTGTGTGTGTGTGTGTGTGTGTGTGTGTGTGTGTGTGTGTGTGTGTAGGCACAAGTATTGAGGACAGAGAACAACTTGGTTAAGTTCGTTCTCTCTGTCTCCCTTTATGTGGGTTGTTGGGACCAAATTCAGATTCCCTGGCTTGCACAGCAATTGCCTTTACCCTCTGAACCATCTTGGTAGCCCAGAGCTGCAGTTTTAAAATGTTTTGCATTCATTGCATTTCATGTGATATAATCATATGAAAAGGTTTTATTAAATGGATAAGTAAGTTCTGATAGCAGTTTCTGAGTCTCCTCAAATGGCTCGATCCTTAAGGGAGAGAGGGAGGAGAGGAGCGTCAAATCCTAACACTCCATGGTGCTCACAGCAGCTGGTGCACTTCTGCAGGATGCCTGGGAACAGTTCTGCAGAGCATCTCGCCTGTTGCAAATAAACCCGTGTCTTCTTTTACAGTTTAGAAAGCTTTCTATTCGCAGGCTGAAATTTCTAGATGACTTGTTTGTTCCTTGTTGAAATGGGTAATTGATAGTTCTGCAGTCCATGTTGAGTTAGGAAGAAAAATTATCTTTTGAAAAATGTATCATTAAGTTACTGTGCAGAGGTTAATCAGAGAGACGCCATGATGGGGACCGAGTTACAAGTGCAGCGGACAGGGAGAAACAGAAGACGTGCTGGGCACTTCCTCCAGGCGCACAGTGTTGGGGTGCTTCTCGAGGCCGCCTCTGCGCTTGCACATGGGCCTGCACATGTGCAGTTAGTAGTGTTTATAGATTGCCTGTTATTCAATTAACAGCCGGGCTGGTCATATCAACTCACTGCAGACCTGCCTTTTCCCTGCCAGAGATTGTACTCGGGTTATCAACTTACACAGGCTTGGCTGTCTTCCAGCTGTTTAATTAGAGTGTCACACGCCTTGCTTTTTCTAGTTTCATTAGTTTATAAATGTAATATGGTATCTTATTTCTGTGATTAACACTTCATTCCGGCAGGTTAAACACGCTGCTAGAGAAGTATTGATTTCTGACACTGTTTCCCTGTACCCATTTAGGTATTTTCACATGGTTCTTTGGGATTTTTTTTTTTTTTTGAGAGTGGTAAGCATGAGGGAGAACACCCCGAAATGCACACCTAAATGACTCATGCCAAGCAGAATCACATGTTTAGGCTTAATTGTCCTTTCCTGTGGCTTTCATTTTTTTATTAATTTTAAAACAAACACTTGTCTTGCCAAGGATATGAGAGGAAAAGTATTTATTATAATCTGAAACAACCACATTGAGTTTTTCTGTTTTCAAGGAGCTGTGATAAGCTCCGCTCACCTTTACTGTTTCTATTTTATTCTTCAGATCATAGAGTAAACCACGTGATTTATTGGCGGTATAATAGAAATGAATTTGATATGGTCTCCCTATCTAGCATGGCCTGGAACTTTCTGAATAGACCAGGCTGATTTCCAGTTCAGAGACCTTCCTGCTTCTGTCTCCTGATTGCTGCGTTTAAAAGTGTACACCACTGCTCCCAGTTGTCTGTTTATTATTTTTTAGCCAGGGTCTCATTTTGTAGCCCAGGCTAGTCTTGAATTCATGGTAGTTCTGTCTCAGCATCTCAAGTACAAGGATTCCATGCTGGAGACACCACTCTGGGCTGCTCAGAGAACCATATTAGTATTCCAGAAAATATTTTATAACTTTTACTTGGCACAACATTTAGAATGCTGAGAGATCTCTGAATCATCGCTGCTAAAGACAAGTAACACGATGAGGAAGAGATGGAAGAGTAATGAAGTCTTGCTTACCTGTGGGAACAGAATGAGTCTGAGTTCTAAGACACCAAAGCTCCAATTTGCTATGTTTTCCACAGATTTTCTCCCTTGGACAATTAAAGCAGTTCTCAGTCACTACCTTCTCTTGGTTACAAATGTATATAATAGGACCAGTTTCAGAATAATAATTTGAGAGGAAGTGTCTTAGTTTGGGTTTCTATTGCTGTGAAGAGACACCATGACCATGGCAACTCTTATACAGGGTTTTTTTTTTTGTTTTTTTGTTTTTTTTTTTTTTTTTTGAGACAATGTTTCTCTGTGTAGCCCTAGCTGTTCTGGAAGTCTCTCTGTAGACCAGGTTGGCCTGGAACTCATGGAGTTTCATCTGCCTTTTCCCAAGTGCTGGGATTAAAGGTGTGTACCACCACTGCTCTGCTCAAAGGGAAACATTTCATTGAGGCTTGCTTACAGTTTCAGAGGTTTAGTTCATTATCGGTATGTTGGGTAGCAGGCAGGCAGGCAGATATGGCACTGGAGAAGGAGCTGAGAGTTCTACATCTTGATCCATTGGTAGCAGAATCAACTGTGCGTTACACTGACCGTAGCTTGAGCAAAGTCACAACTCCTAATAGTGCCACTCCCTTTGGAGACCGTTTTTTTTTTTCAAACCACCCCATATAAATATTTTTCATTTCTTGATCTCACGAGGTTAGTAAGAAAGGGGGATTGTTTAGGTATGAAAGTACATTTTTCTGAGCAAAGCAAGTTACTCAAATGTCAGTGGGTGGCTGTGCCTTAGAGATGAAGGCAAGGTCGTCTTGATGTGATCAGCCATCTTGGTGATCTAATGGGATCAGCCTGCCTGTGTTCTAGGGAGCTTTTAGAGATATGCATGTTAGCTATTTAAATTAACTGCAATTTTACTTCCTCGGTTACCTAAATCACATTTCCAAAGATTAGCTGCTGCCTGCTGCTGCAGTTGGCTAGTGAATTAGACCGTGCCAATAGCAGACTTTTCCCACCCTGCAAAAACAGTTGCAGAACTGTCCTGCTCATCAGAGTCAAGAGCATTTAAATATTGTAGAGAAGGAAATGCTCAGGGTTAATGGAGTCCCTGAATTGAGGGAGGAGGTTCCAACTCATCATCTTCTAAAGCAGGAATTCAGATAGGAAAAGGCAGAAGTGGTTAATTTAGTGATTGAGCTATGACTTAGGTAGATGTTAATCCTCTTTGTTCCGCTACCTCCAAGGATTCTTGCCCCATCCCCAGGACTGTTTCCTTCCTGGTTATAGCATGGCTGCGAAGCTTGCATGCAGAAAATGAGAAAACATGCCGGTGACTCGTTAGCCCAACTGTCCATCTCCCCTAGAATCTCCTCCTTGAGTGAACTTTTATTTCGGTTTGCTTCACACTTGTGCAAGGTTTATATGTTGCTTAAATAGATCATCAAGGGAGATGTCTGTCAGCTTCAGTTAGCTGCCATGTCTTTTTTTTGAAAGTGAGAATTAATGTTTTTGTGTTTAGTTGTTCTGTACTCCCTGGACAGAGCACACAGCTGCAGCTGTGAGCTTGAGCCAACATTGTTGAGTTTGCGTGGTAGTGGGCTACAGACTACAAACTTTTTTGAGCAAATAACATTTTGAGTAATCCACAAGAATTATTGTGTCAAGTTTGGGAGGGGTGGGCAGACAGAGGGTAGGTAGGTAGGTAGATGGATGGATGGATGGATGGATGGATGGATGGATGGATGGATGATTGATAGATAGGGAGATGACTTGACTTTACTCTGGCTTATTAATGTAAAAGTCCGGTAAGCCATACAGAATACTTCATATTTTAAGTAAATTTTTATTATCCTTAAAGTGTATCTTAATAATTTAATTCTCCATCTGATAAATTTTCTTTTTTGTTTTTTTGTCTTGTTTTCAATCTATATTACCTCCTTTTTTTTTACTTAGATTGTATTTTTTTGAGAATTTTATACATGAGTATAGTAAGTGCATTATGCTACCCCATTCTCCCTTGAATACCTGTGTACTTTACCCACTCCCTCTCAAAATGATGACATCTTCATGATAAAAATTTCAAGCTAAAAAAGCAAATACTAAGATACAGAGTGTAAAGAACTTTCCTGGTTGTGAACTCTTTCTTCTTGATGATGAGCCTGAGGTCCAGTCCCAGGAGTAAGGATGGAGGTGAGATGAGTCTGTTCATTGTTTTCCTCCACGCTCCTTCATGAGTGAACTCCTTGAGTATCTCAGGTTCCTCTTTTTCAGGCAGTAGTATAGCCTTGAGTGTGTGTTGTGTTTGGTCCATTAGAGTGGAAATGGGAAGCCCTGGCCAGATAACTGCTCTGCATGTGCTTCACATTTATTCTGGAACCCCTAATTTTCCCTAAAATACTTCAGAAATTAGTCATGGAGCTTCAATTTTAAGCCAGATTCCTGATCAGTGCAGCTACCAAGGGAATTTCGCAGACACGGGAGGGACTGTGCACGGACCACAGTGACAATGGAGGTGGTTTGGTTGTTTTATTTTTGACTCTGAGAGCTATGTAAACGCTAATGGAAATAATAGCAATGCCCTAGTTAGGTATTTTATAGAGATTAAAGCGCTTTACACTATTTATGCTAAAAAAATGTTGAGACTTGTAGAACTCTGTGAAGCTGGGTTAGGCCTAGGCCACAGAAATCTCAGGATCTGTTTGAGAAAATAGATGGTTCACAGAGACTGGAGCAGTAATCAGGGAGCCTGCCTGGGACTGACCTAGGCCATCGACACATGGTTGCATAGCCTGGGGTTCTTGTGGGACTCCTGACAGTGGGGGTGAGGGCTGTCTCTGACATTTTTGCTGACTTTAGGGACCCTTTTCCTCCTACTAGGTTGCCTTGTCCAGCCTTAATATGAGGGTTTGTGCTTAGTCTTATTGTAGCTTGTTATTGCATGTGTGGTTGATATCCCCGGGAGGCCTGCCCTTTCCTGAAGGGAAATGGAAGAATGGATCTGGGGAAGAGGGGAGGAGAAGGGGAGAGACTTGGAGGAGGGAGGGAGGGGAAACTGCAGTCGGGATGTAATATATGAGAGAAGAATAAATAAATGAAGTTTTTTACACACACACACACACACACACACACACACACACACACACACACACACACACGTACCAGAGGGCTAGACCTGGGGCAGAGTCCTGGCATAAGGGCTCATGTTCCAGTGGAGCTGTTGGACGTCCATTCCCTCTTTCAGAGTAGTCATTTTAAGACTGGCCCTTAGTCAACGACATTAAACTATGGCACATTTGCTTTAGTTGAAATAATCTTTACCAGAAAGCTAATTCGTGTTTGAAACAGGATCTATGTAACCACTACTGGCCTGAAACTTAATATGTAGTCTAGGCTGGCTTCTAGCTTGTGGTAATCTCCCTGCCTCAGCTTCCTAAGTAAGGATTACAGGTGTCCCTGCCCTGATGGCAGACACCACTGATCTGTGTCCCTCACCCATTGTTAGATCAATAATAAATGCTTTTCAGCAGTTATCTGATTGCTTGGTATCAGTAATAGTATTTTGCCAAAGATAAGAGAGAATGATTTTATAGCATCTTGAACACTGAGAGAGCTTTCACACCTCACAAGTATTACATGGCTACTGGGAGGAGCCAATGCGCCCATCTCTGGGTCAGTTATAGAGGCTAGGGTTGAGAAGAGAACAGAGAATAGAAATTGTCAGCAGTCGAGGGACACCTCAGTTTGAGGAGTAAAGCCAGAAAGAACCAAGTTTGATGCTGCTACACCGTAAAAGGCTGTTTGCCCAAGATGAGTTAGTTACTCATGATAGTTGCTTAAGGAGAATTATCCCCAATCCTTTGGGGATCTGTGAGTGGAAAGGAGAGGACCGGGATTAGCAACTGTCTTTGGCAGAGTTGGGCCTGCTGCAGCTGCTCATGGGTGAGTGGAGTAGAGGGAGAACACATCTGGCCACAGAGTTCTGTCATGAAGATCTTTGTAATTCTGGAGGAGAGAGTCAGGTTTCTTCTAGAAGGAAATGTACCAGTTTACAAATGTCTTCTTTTCTCTTGATGGTAATCTTTTTTTCCCGTTGGGGTTCGTGACACTGGCTTCTGTGGCTTCCTCTTTGACACCTTTGCTTGTGGTCTTCAGGTCCTTTACTCCCTCAAGCAAATTATTTTTGTGTCACAGACTTCCCACCCTCATAGTTAGTTGTTCCACTTCAGGTTACTTTCTCTGCCCTCACCTGTGCCGCTATACTCCTGCTGAATGCTTTCCTGCGCATTCCTACTTTTGTGAAAATGGTTTTGATTTCTACCAGTGAGAAGAGGGGATGTCCTGGCAGCATGGAGCGGTATCCGGCCCCTTGTCATTGATCCCAACTCTGCAGACACTCAGTCCATCTCCCGAAATCACGTTGTTGAAGTCAGTGAGAGCGGCCTCATCACAATAGCAGGTATTGGCGGTGGTGGTGGAGACTCATTCTTTGGATTGTCCCCCTTCACTCTAATGAATGAGTATTTCGATTTTATGATTCCTAGTAGAACCTTTTTGCCAAATTTCCTGCCAAGAGGTGACTGTTGTTATTATTGGTAACTGGTTAATTATCAGAAAAATTCAGAATGCCAGCTTAAGAGCTTAACAATCTCTCTCGTAGGTGGGAAGTGGACGACGTATCGCTCTATGGCCGAGGACGCTGTGAATGCAGCGATCAAGGTTCACAACCTGAAGGCAGGACCGTGTCGGACAGTTGGGCTGTTCCTCCAAGGAGGCAAAGATTGGAGCCCCACACTCTACATCAGGCTGGTCCAGGACTATGGGCTTGAGAGTGAGGTTCGTGTGCATTGCCATACTACCTTGCTTTGATGCCGAGACCACATTCAGTAGCCATGGTGTGGCCTCTCTGATTCAGAGTGACCTTTTGCTCTGCTTGTCACTCTTGTGTTCCGCAAAAGAAAACAAGAAAAGATGGCCCAACTTTATTATAGTCGCCTAAAGTGATGAACGTTGGTTTCTCTTTGAAATCTGCAATTTATTTGGTTGGTTCCTAGTGTACAAATTCCCCCCACTTCTTGAGTGTGAGAAGGGCTGTTCCTCAGAAGGGCCAACAGGAGGCTGAAGCTTCATCTGTCACTGATCTGGTGCTGCATGAATGCCGAGTCAGCGCTGGCCTAAGCATTCCGAACCCAAGCGGTTTCCTCCTACAAAGTCCGGACCTAACCCTCCCTGAGGACTATTAGTTACAGGCTGTGAGAAAGCTGACATTAGAAGGATGTAGTGTTGTTTTGTTCTGTACCTTAACGGAATGACTCCCGAGTGCCTGTCTAATGCAGCGTTATTTCTGTAGGTGGCACAGCATCTTGCCGCCACCTATGGTGACAAGGCTTTCGAGGTGGCCAAAATGGCAAGTGTGACTGGAAAGCGATGGCCTGTTGTTGGGGTGCGTCTTGTGTCAGAATTTCCATACATCGAAGCAGAGGTATGTGGTGGTCACAGGAACTGCGCTCTGCCATTTACCTGCTCGTTCTATCTTTAGCAATTACGGACTGCTAAGTTTTTAAAGCACACATGTCGGCCAAAATCTGGAGTAAAGTCTCTGGCTTTCACAAACCTTTCACAGTGATGTTGTTAGTGGTAATAGTATGAATGCGAATTCTAGAGTTCATTCAGAGTATCACAGGTCTGCAAATTTGGTTAGGTTGTCTCAGAACTCATAGCTCTTTTAAGTTCGCATCCCTTCTTCCATCTTGACTGGTTCCTTGTCCTCCTGTTTTGATAATTTCTTAGAGATTTGTCTTATTTCTCAGCGTGCTTTCTGATGCTATGAAAGCAGAGACCATGCTTTGTATATTTGTAATTCCTTATGCCTTAAGTCAGTGTCCCGTAAGCTCCACTTGGTGGTCCCCGAGGCAGAAAACTTGACAGCCTAAGGAGCTTGAATAGTCAGCCATGTAAAGGAATGTTTCCACTGTGCATTAGCAAAGAGAAGTGATTCCCATGGCTGGTGGGAGGTGATGCAGTTTGCATGTCTGTGCCTCGTTCTCTTTAGAAGTAGGCATTCGCTGTTACCCAGCTCACCCATTTTCCAGCCTACTGTGGGAGGCAGACGGAGGGCTTGTGCAGTGCCACAAGCGTGCCTGCGTCTGGTGGAGAACCCAAGCAGCTAGAGAAAAATATCAGCTTTTCGTAAAGCATTTTTTTTTTTCAAATGTAAAACTGGACTATTTTAAAAAAGAGTCAAACTAGCAATTTTTCTTTAATTTAGGTGAAATATGGGATTAAAGAATATGCCTGCACTGCAGTTGACATGATTTCACGTCGTACTCGCCTAGCCTTTCTCAATGTCCAGGCTGCAGAGGAAGCGCTGCCCAAGATTGTTGAATTAATGGGCAGAGAACTGAACTGGAGTGAGGCTAAGAAACAGGTACTGTATAAAAGTCTTTATGACCACAGTTCCATTTATAAACGTGTAACAGCGTGGTCTGTTTGTAAAGGATTGCATAACTTTTGATGATGGTTTTAGGTTTCCTGCTAACATTTGTATATACATTTTTAATATTGCTAGGTTTTATGAAAATGAAAGATACTCTTAGGATAATTTTGTTGTTATAGAAGTCTAGAGAATGCTTTTTAATCCCTGGTCATAATTCCTGGGAAAGAAAGATATGAATAACGGTTGGGTGCAGCCTTTTCTAAGTCTCATTGAAAACACTCTTAGAACATGATTAGTAGAATTTCTGCTCTTGATAATCCTTTGATAAGAATAGTGGTTTCACTGCCTGGCCACAAAGGGCTTATTATTTGTATCACTTAATATTTTGAAAGATGAGAGACCTTTACAATATGAAGAAAGACCAAAGTACCATTTGATGTTTTATATTTATTACCAAATTAAAAAAATAATTCCAGTGATGCCTGGATATGCATGAGGGCATAAACATATACACACATATATAAACCCACGCCCTTCCACGTCCCGTCCCCCCCACACCTGGGTTTGTGGTAATAAATAGAAAATCATCTTCTCCTTCTCCTTCCTTTTTCCTCCTTCCTTCTCCTTCTTTCTTCTTCTTTCTCCTTCTTTCTCCTTCTCCATCCTTCCTTCTTCCTCCTCCTTTCTTCTAACCCAAACTATTTTCATTTTCATGTGCAGAGGGATCACATTACTTTCAAATAGTGAAAAAATATATTCTTCATTTACTGAACCCTGTTCTTTCTTTAACTGAATCTGTACAACTTTCTGTGATATGTCCCTGTTTAACTCTGGACAAACTCACCAAGGATATCCACACTGCATGACACGATACACTTGTCAGCTCATGGTGCTCACTTTATTTGGCCAGGTAGTTACATTTGGCACAGTTGATTCAACTCTCCCTCTTGAATTGAATTGAGAGAGTTTGCAATGTAGTCCAGGCTGAGTTTGAGGTCTCCATACTGCTTTTACCTCTGAGGTACTATGATAGTAGGTGTATCCATAATCCCTGGTTTGAATCCTTTTTTATCTCAGGAGTAATATTTCTTTTGAGTGTCTTCATGGCTCCTTCAAGTGCTGTCCCTAGAGCCCTCTCCACATCTTAACAGCTCATTGCCCCTCAGTTGCTCAGGTCTCAACTTTAGCATCATACTTCGTGTATTCACTCATATCTTGTCTAAAGCCACTCAATCTTCCTGTAATCATCTTCACATCATGATTGAGAGTCACCCTTTCTTATCGCATTCATTATTGTCACCTTGATATAGGCTACTGGTATGTCTCATGATCATTGAACTGGCTTTGGGGATTTTATGAGAAAATAATCCATACTTATCATTGGATATATCCAGAAGCCATAGCAGAATGTACATTTTTAAATTGGCTTTTGATATATTAGATACATTTGGATATATTAGATATGATCATCAAGGACTTAATGCTGGTAGGTGGGGCAAGTGACTCTGACTGAGATTAGGCTAGGGACACTACAAAGTATAGAAACTGGAGCAATAAGGAATTGTATAGAAGAACTAGAAAAGAATAGATACTAAGGTTGGGGGAGTTTTAAGAGGACTAAGGGAGCTGTGACTCAGAGGATAACAGTACATTAGGATTACTGCAACAGAATACTGCTAGTGGGATGCTTCGGATAGCAAACATTCATTTCTCAAAATCATTTCTTTACTTTCTAACATGAAGTCTAGGGTCAAGGCACCAGCGGGTCTCCCCACCTTTTATGGTTCACGGACAGAAGGCTCCTTGGCATATTCACATGTCTAGTGAATGAGCATTATCGAGCATGCATTGATGATGCACACAGGATTGGGCCTATAGCCTACCTTCAAGTGTTCATATTATGATGTAGATCCTAAAGGTGGAATTCCTGGGAAAGTGGGAGAAAGGGTAGGTTCAAAGGCTTAAGTTTAGTCCATCATTGTCATGTATGGGATTGCAGGCATGTACTGTCATGCTCAGCTGCAAAGGGGTGTCCTTTACCTGAATTTTATAATTGAGGAAGCAGACTCAGTTTCTATAAGCATTAAACTGTAGAGCTGGGTTCAAAACCTGTCCCCTGACCCTCTCCTGCTGCCTCCGTACTGCCTTATAACTCTCCCAGTTTTTGAGTCTTAGCTTTTCATGGAGACAACACAAGAATGTCACTGCCTACCATTTTTCTATGTAGAAGAATCAGGGATATGTTCTTATAAAAATTATGGTTGGAATGATTAGATAGGCGCATATTTTGTGCTAAGAGGTAGGAAAGAGAAAATTGTAAAAACCGGTTGTGCTTAACATTTCCAGGTAAACTGGGATTTAACTTGATTTCAAACTTTGCGAGTAGACAGACATTCTTAGGAGCACTCCTAATCTCTTTAAAGTAACAAAGACTAAACAGCTAAAGATATTATTCAGTTTCTGAGGCACAGCAGCTTAATGAGAACAGTGGACAGTCTGGAGAGCACAAAAGAGAAGGAAAAAAGAATTAAAAGGTTAGAAAGTTGTACTTCTGAGAAAAGGTTAAAAGCTTTGGGATTATTTAACCTGCAAAAGCGAAAGAGGAACAGGGTGATAAATAACTCTGCATAGATGAATTGTGTTGTTTCTACGGTCAATACCTAATGAGTGACCCGTATACTGAGCATAGTGCCAAATAGTTTAGGGGAATAATAAATAGCTCATAGTTTCAAGGACCTTGAACTCTAACTGTGTGGATATCGCACATGCCTATGTCAGAAACGCATGTGTATTTTCAAAGTTTACAGATATACTTAGAGACGTCGTTTTTCAAGACTGAAAGTCAGCTAACATGGAAGACTAGAGTAGGCCGGGCAGCACTCTCTGTTGAGTTTGGGGGGTGATCGAGGAACAGGAAAGGACACGAAGGGAAGTGCCATCGCCAAACTGTGTACTCCTGGGAGTGAATTAATGTGTGGGAGAAGATGACTCCATGGGCAAGCAAGGGGACTTGGCGTCACATTAATAAAAGAAACTTTAGTTCAGATGCTTTGGAACTTTTGAAATGCTGTGTGTTTTGTCAGTTCCAACAGAGAAATTTCCTTGGAGACCTCAGACTAAACTTGCTTTTGAGGAGGTCTGAGCAGGAAAGGGCATAGGCCTCACTCAGAACATACTTAGAGAAATGCTGTCTGGAGAGAAAGGCAGATATTGTAATTTTCATATAAGGTACATTTTTATTTTCATTGTGAGACTTTAAATTTCAAATTTAAAACAGAAGACATAGTCAAATAGGAGGTGACTCTCCATAAGTTTTATTCCAGTCAGGGAATGCAATACCAATTTCAAAAAGCAGAAAGCAAATACGTCTTTGTGATCTAGGAACAGTCTTCATATTGATCATGACTGATTTTCTAAATTATGTTCATTAGTTTTGTTATGTTCACTAAGTTTATTATCATTTAGCAGGAAGTGTGGGCTATGGGAGGCTCGTAAAGGGTCACTAAGGAAAAATGTTTCATACATGTCATTTTCATATTAGAGTAAGGATTAGATCAGGAAAATGCTATAGAGGGTGTGTGTGTGTGTGTGTGTGTGTGTGTGTGTGTGTGTGTGTGTGTGTGTGTGTGTGTGTATGGAAGCTCCATAAAGCATTTCATACAGCTTCATGAATCTTTGCAAAACCAGTAGTTTTGTAGCTAAATCGCCAGTTTGGACCTCTGAAGAGGTCTCTGACAGCAGGTTGTAAGCACTCTGTCCCTTTGACCTGATCTTTGGTTCCAGCATTTATGTTATAGTGCTAATGCTATGCTTCTTTGGTGTGCCAATAAGCAGAGAGGTAAATGAATATTTGACGACAACATGAAATACTAGCCCAAATGGTAATCCTTGTACTAAGTTAGGCTAACTTCCTTTATTCAAGCCAGGTTTGATGGCCTTAGCAATATAGCACACATGAAAAACAAGAGTGGCTTCAGTTGACTGTGACTGCCAATCAGTTAACAGTGGACCATGATTGTCTCCTACTTAATGTATTCTATAGTCGTGTTAATATAGGTCATGAAACTAGAGAGATGGAATTGATTTCTGCTCCGTCTAGGTACTTTCACATCTCCCTAGGAACTGTTTTGTTCTGACAGTTGGATTATATGATAGAATTTGTGGTCTAGAAGAAAGCATCCAACATGGCATAGGGCTTTCAAGTCATGCTTCTGCTGAAGTTTTGGCTAACAAATCTCTAAGGAGTAAAGTACTTGACGCCGCTTTCAGTATGTGACCTATGATACAGAAACATAATAGGTTGGTTCTAGTGTAGCAAAGTCTTGGTCATCCCAAGCCAGCTGGAAGAGTTGGAAGGAGGTACATTGAATCTCAACATAAAATGCTTTCATAGGCACACCATCCTTTCATCCTTTACTTTGAGTAAAGTCATTTAGACAGACACCTTGGCTTCTGTTTGCATGATCTATAAATGAATGGAAACACGAAGTTAGGGAACACATTGAGAGAGACATGGATGGAAAGATTTCTTTGCTCTTTGAAACATCATGGTTATTTGGTGGAGTGTGGATGAAATTCACAAGCAGTGACGGAATATGAATTGAGTAAGAGGTCGTCACTGGAGGGAAGACTCAGAGGCAGCATATCCAAGGACATGAATTTGAGAGTAGTGTATGTCAAATGACTGGAAATGACTGATCAAACAAGAAAATCCATGTTACAACCATGACTGGAGAATTTTCTTAGGTGAAGAGAAAAGTCTGCCAGTGTAGAATGCCATTGGAGATAGAGACTTCATGTTTTATTTAACCACACAAATGTTGATGTAGATACATTTTTTGTTTTTAAATTCATCATTATGTAGCATTCATGATGTTTTATTTCTTTTGCTGCATCTATTTCTGAAGAGAAAGGAGGTAGGAAAGGAATAATCTCAAAAACAGCTTGTCTTCCAAAGAAAACAGAGTGCCAAGCCTTGCTATTGCCATTGTCCACACGGTGATGTAGTTTCTCAGGCCTTGCTTCATGGGCATTTCAGTTTCACATTCAATATTTGGGGCCTGCTGAGTTTGTAACATTGTTTGATGTGAAGTCGAGATTGAAGATATATATATTTGCTTGGCTGGCTCATAGTGCTTGACAACCTCTCAGTGGTTTAGGCGACTCGGCTATTAAGAGGGCTTGTAGAACACCCCACCCTCACACTGGGCAGCTCACAACTTGTGTCACTCCAGCCCCAGGGAATCTGATGCCCTCTTCTGGACACCATGAGCACCCCACACATGTATATACTTCCCACACATATAGGCGTAAATAAAAATATACTATAAATAAATGTTAAAATCAATCTCAGTGGCTTAACACAGCCCCTTTGCACGTTTGTTTTTGTTACATGTTCTATGTAGCCCTTGCTATCGTGGAACTCCATGTGTAGACCAAGATGGCATCAAACTCACAGAGGTTTGCCTGCCTCTGCCTACCGTAGCCTAGGGATCAAAGGTGTGTGCCACCATACCCAGCTCAGCCAGTATTTGATGTTTTTCCTTCATGTCTAGATTGACTTGTATCTGTCTAAACCATGGTTATTCTCAGGGAACAGGAACAAGAGAGATAATGAAAGCCAGGATTTCTCTTTTGAAGCTTTCTCCCAAAAGTGCAATATCTTGTGTCTATTCATGTTCTACTGGCCAAAGTAAGTCACATGGCCAAAGCTCATAAAAGTGGCATTAAGAAATATATATGCATGGGGGAAGGGTGTGTGTGTGTGTGTGTGTGTGTGTGTGTGTGTGTGTGTGTGTGTGTATGCGCATGCATGTGCATGCACATATTTATACATGTGAGGAAAGTTACTAACAGTATACACTATAATATAGTCACTTGAGGTACTGAGACGAGAGTGACAGAATGAGAGCTAAGGGCAGTGCTTGTTGCAGTAGCTGACTGGGGGTACTGAAAGCAGTGAGAATGACTGGAGAGTAGGCCATGATGTCTCTGTGGCTGTCAGAGGCCCCTGACAGAACTTCTGCATAGCTCACCATACATAGGCACTGCAAGCCACGGTAGAGGAGATGTTCAAGTCCTATATATTTTACTCCTCTTTTCTTTTCTTATCATCAGGCTTTAGGAATTCGCTCTTATAGAATTTGATAGTCAGTAGCACACAAGAGTACACTACAGTAAAAAGAAATATCAGCGCTACAACGTTTAGAACAGGAATCCTTATATTGTGGGGAGGCAGTCAAACACAGGCAGTGTGACATGCTCTATGACATTTAAGAAAAGATGAACTGAGCCCAAGGCCCCCCGGATGGTCCCTGGAGCCAGACAGAGGTCAGGAAAGAATCAGGAAATGCAGGTGGGCGTACCGGGTGTGTGAGGTTACAGCCATATTCTGTATCTGAGCATATTAGACTGTGTCTTAAGTTGCCCAACTAGAAGGAGTGCTAGTACTTCACTAAAACTGTGTGCTGGTTCAGTGAGAATCAGTTTTGGGTGAAAAAAGAGAAAGAGAGAAAAGTCAATAGCTCCTACAACTCTATGTCTGTGTCTTTTCTTTTTCAGGAAGAACTTGAAATAGCCACCAAGTTTCTGTACTATGAAATGGGCTCCAAGTCTCGATCAGAACAATTCACAGATCGTACTGAAATCAGCCTGATGCCTTCAGACATCGATAGGTACCTCTCACAGCTCTTCCTCCTCCTTCTGCTCCTCCTCTTCCACATCCTCATCCTCTTTCTCCTCCCTCTTTTATGGAAGTCTGTTTGCATTATTCAATTTTGTGTTGCAGGTATACGAAGAGATTTCATAAGTTTGATGCAGACGAAAAGGGCTTTATTACCATTGTTGATGTTCAGCGTGTACTAGAGGTAATACATGGGTTTCTTTTGTTATTACTATCAGCTTTAGTACAAAGAATATAAAGATACTATTTATTAGCATTTTCACAAGTCATATTTTTTTAACTTTTGGATAGTCTAGTCATATTAGAAGATGGCTACACATTATTTTTAGTTAAACCTCATTCCTCTGTTGCTTTTCTGTCTAGAGTATCAATGTGCAAGTAGATGAAAATGCACTCCATGAAATGCTCAGGGAAGTGGATTTGAACAAAAATGGACAAGTTGAGCTCAATGAATTTCTGCAGGTGAGTTGTGATGAGACAGATGCATTTGTCTTTGCATTTACTTGTCCCCATCCTACGAATGAGATTCTTAAATCTACTCAGTAATCACTTCATCCTGAACATGTAGCCAGAGCCAGCAACAGTTGATCTGTCTGCCCTTGAGGATGAGGCTCTGTTAGTGCCTGCTCCTCTCCCTTCTCTTTATAAGAGGTATCAGTTTTCTTGGCTATTTAGATTAAATCCAAGTTAATTGTGGCTTACAGAATTGCACTAGAAGTATGCTTTTTAAAGAATGATGCCATGGAATATAATGGCTCTACCATTGCTACACTGAGAAGCAACATAGTACTTCTAGTATGAAAAGTCATTTTTTTTTAAAATAGGAGAGATTATAACCTATAGTTTCATTTATTGAAGAATCATATTAACTTAAGAATATAATTATTCAATTCTTATATTTTGATAAACCAGAAAAGCAAATGAGAAGAAAGGTATGGTCTGGAGTCAAGATGGCAAATTTAAACATTTCCATTTCTGATGTTTAAGTAACCAAAGTTTCAATTGTTCAATCATTATAACCGCCAAAGAAATACAGTTTGTTACTGTAACTTCCTACTAGATGCTCTGCATACTGGATGCTTCCCAGTTGAGTTCTGTAAAGGAAAGAAATTCAATACTTTGTCCCTCGCTGTCCATAGGACTCTGCTCATTTGAAGAATGCACTGCTTTCCAGGCAGCCAGGTTGTTTTCTGTAGTGTTTCTTGGGCAGGTATTTCAAGTGAATGCCAGGTCTTGCTTGCACCGTGGCAATGATGAATGCTGAACATGAAATAAATTAATGCTGGGATTTTGGTCAATGTCAGCCCTTTCTTCACTGTGTCAAGTTAAACAAACAAGATCAAGGCAAAGGAAATGGTAATTGTCTCTCTAGAGATGAGCTGCAGATAAGAGCATTGTTGAATCTAAATGCAGAAAATTTTCACAGGTTGTGGCCAGCATGACAAAAAGAATGTTTAGTTCTTTAACTAGCTGTTTGACTAAATGCAAACTTTAAATCACATTTGAGATTTATGGTTAGGAATTAGAAAACATTTAATGCCTCTTTTTGTATAGTTTTTCTGGGGAATATTTTATTGTCTCAGAATTTTCGAGAACTCTTCTTCAAAGGAACAGCTTATGCTTCGTTTCCTGTGTTTTGTAAATAAACAGCAGCATTTTGACTTGAAAATCTCAGGGTTCTAGAAACAATAAGAATCTAATTTAATAGATGTGTTGTGTGGCTTGGTTTTAAGTAACTTTCTTGAATACAGTAGAGTTAAGCACATAGTAAATAATTTAAACCACCTGCAGGTTTTCTTGTAGAGTTTTTTAATAATTGAGTATTTCCTGTCCATTTCTAAATGAATGCAACCATTCATGTCTTCAATAAATACACAGCATAATTTCCAAGTTATAAAACACTGGCCCCTTTTCTTATGAAATCTAGTCACACCTAGATATTATTTTTTTCTTGCAGTATGGTTTTCAGATACACATAATACTTAATGAAAAATTTTAGTTTGTTGAGGTTGGTCCAGGAAACACTGTTGATGTCTGAGAGAGATGCCCATCTTTGACAGTTGTTACCTCTGATAAATTCCAAGGGTCTCCCAGAATCAGAAAACAATAAACGGAAAGTTGTTCTGTCTTTAGGTGCCAGCAGTCCTTAGATAAAATATTTCTCAGATGGAAAGCGTGTTTGCAACATTTGATTGTTTAATGAAATATTGTCCCTTTCTGAATATGAGGAGCCCACATTTATCCTGTTAAGGGTCTGCTTTTGGATATGGGCGTACATTTTCAGTCATTATAATGGGAGGATCACTATGGAGACTGCCTGGTTGTAGGACTTGGTTTCAGGTCTGGGCTTAATGACACTTGTGCATGTAGGAGTCCATCTCTCATAAGTAGTCACTTGTGAAGCAGCTTTTAATGAGGTTAGGAGATTCAGATCCAGCCCTTGGGCACATGCCCAGGCCTCCCATGTGGAGCACGTTTTTCAAAATGTATCTCCTCCACAGGCTAAAACCCTAACTCTGAAATATTTTAAATATTTTCATATGTCCCTTTAAAAAAATAACTAACTCTATTGAGTACATTTTTTTTTAAATAGAAGAAATTAGATCAAGAGAAGTCAATAGTTCAATATTGATGTGAAGGAAGGAGCGAGCCTTATACTAAGAATTGTAAGATGCTTTCTAGATTAAAGGTCTTTGCCTACTCCCTGCATGCAATTTTAGAACTAATTCTAATTTATCCATTGGATAAAAATGAATTAGCTAAAATCTAGGTAGTAGAGTACCTTCATTCTTAGGGAAGATCTCTCATTCCATTTTCAATGACTGATATATAAATTTGTTTAAAAAGACAAAGGAATTTGAATTTAGAAGACTTGAAGTTGTCAAGTACAGAAACTCTGAAAAATCATAATTAAATGTAGGAGGTCATGGTTTGTCTTTGCTCTGTCCCTGAGATTCCTTTTTAGGATTTAAAAATAGAATTCAAGATCCAATATTTGAAGTTAACTTTTTTAAAAAGTGACCCAAATAGCACATTAGGGGGAAAGATGTTCATTAAATCTGCTTTTAGGGTAGCCTGATCTACTTAGCAGGTGCCGTCTCTGTCAGCAGTGTGAAACGTTTCCTTTTGAACTGTTCAAAAAGTTGAGTGCGTGCTCTGGAGCTGATGGAGCGTTTCATTTTGCCTCTGCCTGGCACGGTGGGAACGGGTAGGTGCTAAAAGTAGTGAGAGCTGGCCTGCTTGCTGAGTGTGTCCCGTATTTTCTTTTAAAGCTCATGAGTGCAGTTCAGAAAGGAAGGGTTTCTGGAAGCCGGCTTGCCATCCTGATGAAAACTGCTGAAGAGAACTTGGACCGAAGAGTTCCGATTCCTGTGGATCGTAGTTGTGGAGGATTGTGAGTCTGACCAGTAAATCTACAGCCAACAATCATAGGACAGCAAGCACCATGTACCAACCAGAGATGACTTAAACCACTCTAAATAGTGGCCATGGTAGCGTGTTTTTTAAAAAGGAAAACACTGGAAAACATTCCAAAACTTTTAAGATGTTGGTGTATTTGCCAACTTAACCTGCCAATCTTTTATTTGTATTTTCCATTCAGTCTAGCTTCTAAAAAGTGTTTTTCTCATTTTTTAGTGCACATTGATTTAACGTTTTGTATTCATTTTGTAACCTGCCAGACTTGACTCTGCCTTTCCATCCATTCACTCAAATCAGTTTTAATGGCAGACCCCGCAGGATTGGAAAGAAGCTGGAAAATGTTGTGAGCAGCCAGAGCTCCGGAACTTGAACTTGTAGACAGCATTATTTTTTTCTTCTTAGAAAAGTCTTTGACCTGTTGACATGACCATGTTTTGGGAGACTTCTCAGCCCTTTCTTGCTACCTCCCCTTCCAAGCAACACTTCACCCTTTTCTGTCTAGAGTAACACTGGTTAATCTGGAGAGGGAAGACAAAGTTTCGGTCTGGTTGAGATTTGGTTACATTTCTAAAAGAAAAGCTCTGAACGCTTCCAGGATCACAGGAGAAAGATAAAGACAGCATTGACATTTGCCGGGAGGTAGTGAGAGTTGCTTCTCAACAGTTCATTTTTTTCCCCAGGCACTGCTGGCTTTCTTTGACTATTATAGTTGCCAGAAAAAAATCCTTGCTTTTTTTACTTTCAAACCAGCATTTGAGTGGCAAGTTGGATATAATGGGATGAGACCAAATCTTTCCATTCCTTCAGGGAGTAATGATAAAACACAGTTTTCAATCCCACAAGTCCTGAATCTTGCAGCGTGTGGTATTGTCAGGCCTGTTCTTGTTGGGGTGGGCAATAGTCTTAGTATTTGCAAAGGGACAATAAGAATTGGGCAGACTTTAGTTAACTTTAATTATAAAATTAAAATAAGGCATCCTACTTTAATATCCAAAGACAGTGAGTGTGCTTGCCAAAAGCCTTTCTCTTTGTATACTCAATGGGAAAATTCTGATTCTACCAAAAATAAAAAAAAAAATAAAATAAAATAAATTAAAGGAAGATAACACACACACACACACACACACACACACACACACACACACACCCACCCACAAATCAAAACTGACTGTGCATTGCACTCAAAAAATAATGCACCTAACAGAGATGCCAGCTGGAGAATGCTTCTGTTATATTCTGTTGGCACTATTACTAGTAATCTTAATATTTATTAAATGTGCTCCCTTTCCTGAAGCTACCAATAATTGGTTGTCTGTGCAGCATAGGAAGTGTAGCCCTTGTTCCATACTTCTCTCCTGGCAGGCTTTGTTGTGCAGACTATGTCCTGGCTCTGTGAACCGGTACAGAAAGCACCTTCCTCTGTGCTACTGTTTCTGCTTATACTATGCCTTTCTGCCTCGTTCAGTATGGGTTCTGAGTCTGCATATGGTAATATGAACTGGGAAGTTCACTTACAGAGCCCCCTGCCCTCCAACATGCAGAAACTGTAGGGAGAGACAGCCCACCTCATTTTATTATTAAACAAAGTTTAGATACTTTACTTATGTAGGGTAACCTGACACAGAGCAAGCGATGTCACAGCAGGTGCCACTGAAGTTTTTCTTTCAAAGCGTGAACATTTTACACAAGTTTTTATTATTATGTTTTTAATAAATGGGATCACGTGGATTTTCAATTGAGTGTTTTTCTATCATGACAATAAAGTTCACTTTATACCTAGTGACATTAAGTTGGCAGAAAAGCTGTCCTTTAAGACATCCCAAATGACATATCACAATATTCTACATCTGTACTCCCCTCCTCTCTCTCTCTTTCTCTCTTTCTAGTTAGATCAAGATAACGATGGCTTGTATCACCCCTGATTCTCTTACAGTAGGGACTGGGCTTAGAATGTGACTTGCTCAGGCCGATCTGTGTTTGGAAAGCAGGTCTTGTTTGTACATGCTTTGCTATGAATGAAGTTCCTTTAAGGACAAAGAGAAGTGCACTTTTCTTCATTTGAGCATATCTGCTTTGGCTTCAAAATCTGCTTGTTCTGAGACACGCTCCTTCACCAATCCCAGAGACTCGTTTTGGAAATGAACTACTTTCATGACATTCCTGTAAATAAAGCACCCCAGCCTTTGCATTTTCCTGTGAGTTCCTCATTGAACCTGGACAGTATTTTTTTTTTTAATTCCAATTTAAGCAAAGGAAAAAGGAAATAGGGGAACAACCCCCTTTAAAACACAAACTCATTCAGAGAATGAAACATTTTTTTCTTTTCATATAAACCTGGTATTTGTTGACTCTGTTCGGGTATGGGATTGGGTGTGTGGGGATTGTCTTTTATTATCAAGTGATTTATTTCAAGAGCCTCAGAGGGAATTCAGGTGAAGGAATCGCATCTGTGCTGGAGGGCTGTGTAGACTCCTTTAACTAGCCTTCGCCTCTGTCGTAATAACAGTGATAATGCTGGATTACTTGTTTAGCTAAGCTTGTCTGCCTCATATCCATCATGCTGCATATTCTTGCTCTCAATCTGTTTGTACTGAGTGTAACTTCAGATTTCTGCCATCAAGTGCATGCTTTGTACTCTGCCTTAGTTTATGGCTTGATTTTTGTCAATTTCAAAATATGTACAACAAAAATGTTCATTCTGATTTTAACTCAATACAGCATAGGGATTGTCACTGATTTTTTTTTTCTTTACCTCTTTTTTATGCATTTGTAAAAAGGTCTTTTGCATATGAATGTAATCACATATCGATGTCACTGATGCTGTAGACTTTCACTGCACTTTACTCTAGGGAGTAAAAAAGCCCTACTATGTTTTAAAAGAATATCAAGTCTTAGTCCAGTACTGGACATACTCACTGCATGCTCTCATACTGTCACACTTTTCTGTATTGTGTTTGGGTTATTGTTCTAGACTGGACTGTTAAATGCTGTGTTTGAGGCTGGGTTGTCATTTTTATAGCTGTCTTGGTATTTTATCACCATTATTTATTACTTTTGATATACAGAATGAGCTGCATGCATTTGTAGAGCAATAAGAAGATGTATTTAATGTGCCTTGTTTTTAACTGAGTAAGAGCCGAAAGTGTAAATCAATAAAGCTGATTAAAATGGTCCATTTGCTGGCATCTCCCTGTTGCTTGTTGGTCAGACAAATAACTTTAATTATTGTTGAAGTTTTGAAAAGTTTGAAGATATTTTCAGAAACTGTATTTTAAATGACACACATTAATTCTTTTACGTTAGAATCTTGTCATTTTATCTCAAGTGAAGTGTCTGTATAGACAGATCTTATTTTATGAGACTACCAAAATTATTTATTAATTTGTTGCTTCAGTTTTACGTGACCCTAGTCTACATTTATGCCATTACAACTCAATAGAATTCCTTTCCTCTCTCTCTCCTTTTTTTTTTTTTTTTGGTTGAGCAGAAGCTCTCAGCCTCCACGTTTCCAGGCATGCTGATGAATTTTATCATAACTAAAATCAATAGAAATGAATGGGAAAGATTACATAATCCATTTTGATCATCTTACATGTCAAGTTAGTGCAGGGTTGCCAAGCGTTGATAAATGCTCTGACAGAAAAAAATGCTATATATTTTCATTGTCAGTGACTCAGTAGAGCTGTTATCAGCTTAGCACTGGCCCAATTTTCTAATGCCCGTGTTATTTTATAGGTTTTAATTTGCACATGTACAGGGGGTGCTTTCTCCATCTGTGGTGGAGAAGTGCTACCTCCAGGTTGAGCGGGCTCAGAGGCGTTTGTGAGTTTCTTATAGTCCCTCGAAACTGTATCCCAAGCAAAGGCGCCCTCCCAGACAGGCCTTGGAAAATACACCATTTGTTCGGTGTCTGGAAGAAAATACAAAGCAGCTCAAAACATTTTCCATTGATCTAGCTCATGCAATTTGATAGCACTTAAATTTGTCAAAATAGTGTTCCTGGTTTTCAAAATATGTAAAATTGACGGTCACTTAAAAAAACAGAAACATGATACTGGCCTCAATATTTTGTGGTTTTTGTCAACAGTCCACTGTCACTGGTGTCACATCGCATCTGATGACATTTGACTTATGAAGAAAAGAAGCAACAGGAGTTTTAAATTGATCTGACACCCTCGTAATGAGACAAGTTCTGTATGGGAGGCAGAAATGATGAGCCTTTTATGCCCGTACTTTGTATTTTAGGTCTCTAATTAGCTACCTCACTTGTGAAATGCAGGAACAGAACATGATGTATGTAAGCCTTGAAGATGCCACAGACAGCCCCAAAGGCCCTGTGCTAAAAGGTGCAGTGCAGAAAATCAGTCGCTGTCTTTCCATCTCTTAAGTACCTGCTCAGGAACTGATGTGATCTAAGAAAAACACTGCCCTAGCAGAGACATCAGGACCACCCCTGTTCTCCACATTTGGCATTGAATCCTTTGCTTAGCACACGTCACCCCCAGAAGTGTTCCCGTCGTAGTTACTTGAACCTAGGGGAGGGTTGTGTGATGCCTTCTTTAGGAAGGTACTGGATTGTATTTCAGTGGAATCAGGGGAGGATTGAAATGCATAGAATGTGCCTTGGATGCTAGCGTATGGCACATGGTACAGCTGGTTTGTTCTACAAGCTTCTGAGCCTTTGCAGATCCACTGCCATGCGTCTTAAGCAAGGCATCCTCGCACTCATCTGCCAGGTAAATGGCTCCTGTAGGGCAGTGTGCATTTGCTTCCTTAGCAGCTGCTAGCTTTCTTTCGTTGTATCAAAGAGTGGGGAAATGGGCCATCACGCGCGCGTGCGCGTGCGCGCGCGGGCACACACACACACACACACACACACACACACACACACACACACACACACGCCTTTAGCCCTCATCCTCAACGTTCTTTGTTAGCTTTTAGCATACCCTATAAAACTGGGTCTAATTTTTATTAGCTTTTTCTTTAACTCCAATTTAGACTTACTTGATTTTGTTTGCCTAAATAATCTAAATGTAATAAACTCAATTAACATGTCACTATTCTTTCACCTGACCTCAGTGCCCTCTTTTAAACGAGGTCTTCTGCCCTTACTCGCCCCTTCCCCCAAGGGTTAGAGTAAACAGCCACTCCCTTCATATGTTGCTAGTTAGATTTTCTCACCATTCCTTCACTATCCGTTTTTTTTCCCTCCATCCCCATCATTAATTGATTTACAATTCATTTTTATGCATACGGAGTTTTTCCTATCCAAGTTAAGAAGCTGTAAATCTTAGATCCATTGAAATGACAGTGAGAAATATTTCATTTTATCTCATGAATCATTTGCCATCCTTATTGCAGAAAAATGGCAAAATTATGGTGTACCATGTTTTCATAAATTACCCTTCCCCACCCCCAACCCCACTGCTCTGGTTCATTTCATTATCTGTGTGGAGAGACTCGGAGCCACATTGCAGACACGTGGGGTAAACATCTCTGGTCTTGCAGCCAGCTAATCAAAATTTCATAACATTACAAATTAATTCCTCTGCCACCACGAAGAACTTAATTCATGTACAAAAATATATCATCTATTTTATAAGTCAAAAAATAGCTTGATATTAAAGTATGCCCCATGATTGCTCATATCAAAAAGGGGGACAGGTGTTGAGTTCTTTAAATAATGTATATAATTTTCATTGGTTTCATATGTCAAAGTAGTCATTTATGTCCTGAAAGGTGGGTGCTTGGCACTATGTGTTTGAACACTACTAAAAAATCATAGCTTCTTCCAAAAAGGCCAAATCTTGGGTTTGTATTTCACATATGACCTAGAGTGAAATAACTTCTGCAGGTATGACGTGGTGCCCCCCCCCCCACCTTGTCTCCAGCAAGAAGTAGCCTGAAGAGTAAGAACCTGAAATTTCTAAAGATAAATAATTTTTAAAAGAAACACATGAAATCAGCTACCATATTACAGTGTTACTGAGTGGATGGATTGGGCTCTTACTCTTAACCTCCATTATTGTCAAGCTTTTGAGGGGCTCCACTGTCAGTTCTTTGTAGATTCTGAAAACTCAAGTTTATCCTGGAAAAGATGTGTGTCCTAGTGAGTTGCTGCCCTCTATCAAAATGGGCTATCTTTTAAGTGGAGTTTCTCCAACTTGATCCATGCTGTAAGTAGCATTGAACCATTAAATAAAAACCAAGACAAAATGGCTTTGAAAAGGGTTAATTAGCTTTAATACTGATTTATTCCATATAGGACGCTAATAGACCAGAACATTTACTTCTGTTTTGGATCATTAAAAACTGGCTCTAGTTCTTGAACAATTTGTTTCTAATAATTAAAAATTAGACCAATTAGAGTAGTCTTCATATAACCTTCTCACCATGATGTACTTTTTATGAAAACAAAAACCTGACTTAATATTCCGCAGTTCCCTGCAATCTCAGCCACGAAAAGCAGTACACAAAATATTGAAAAGGCCATTGAGCTCAAGTCTGGAGTATTTCTCCTTTAGTCCTAAAAGGACCCTTGAGATGAGGTGAGGTGTGTGTGTTTGGGGGTGGGGTGGGGTATGGTTAATGTATGCACCAAGATCAGGAAAGCAAAATTGCTGTGTGCTGGAGTCACATTTTCCTAAGAGTCGGTGCATCCCTAGCCCTACGACTTAGCTTTCTCCATTCATTGCTCTAGGTTTGGAAATGTGACTGCATCGGCAAAGTTCCCAGTGACCTCTGAGGTCCTGTCTGTCTGTCTCTGTAGGGGAGGGCTCCCTTGCTGAGTTTTTGTTCTTATGCTGCCCTCTAATGGATACCAAATTATTTCATTAGACCCAGAACAAAAGTAAATTTTCAGCTTCTTAGGGCCAGCCCATCCGTCTTGGACATGGTGATGTGACCTGCTTCTCCTCTGCACATGTTCAGGTGTAGGAGACATTCGTGTTAATTGTGTCCGGCTGCCCTGGCCAAAGTTGCGTTCCTGTTCTGGACAGTGAAGAGACAGCGAATGCTAATTTGTGCTCTGTCGAACTTTCCTTTTTTTCTTTTTCCTTGCCAGCAATTGTAAAGAATTGATGTTCTAGGGTACTTAAAAATGAGGAATAAAAACAGTGTAAGTGCTGTATTAAGATGATATGCTGTATGTTTTATCAGCCACTGGCACCTAGTTCAAAAGACAAAAAAATTAGCAGCAGTGGTTTGGGAATAGGCCTGCGCACAGGGTGGCTATCCAATCCATACGTGAAGAATATCAGCGCTTTTCACATGCTGCTTTCTGACACCCATTGCTAGAGCTGAAAACTATCTCTATTGTCCAGTTTGATTGCTTGAATCAAACTGATTTACAGCAAATCCATCTGAGCTTTGATAAATCTATTACAGTTTCATTTCACTGATTTCATTAACGTGAATAAAACCAGCCATGCTTTCTGCATAACTGCCTTTTAATGGCTTGGCCCTGTCACCTGCCTGAATATTAATCCCCCTGACTTATTGCTCCACAGAGGGAATGAGTAATGGGTATTTGAATGTGATCAGCACAGTACAATGCAATTAAGGAAGCAGTACTGTTCTGTGCCTTTAATCCTGAACTAATTTGAATTGCAGTTTGATAGCACAGTGAATCCTGCATAATTATGTAGGGTGCATATTAAACTCTGTGACAAACCGGAGGAGCTTTTAACCGTCACAGCTATGGTAGACAAGTGAAGGCTGGAGTGAGAGAGCCCACTATTGGACCGAGAGCTCAATTAATAGGAAACCCTCAGCAGGATGGCTTGGCCATGCAACCTATCTTGGAACAAAAATATGAAATGTTGACTTGCTCCAAATCAATTTTATTTTCCATGCATTGGAGTTCTCAGAGTTCCTTTTGAGTTTGCAAGGTAGAGAATTGTCCCTTAGCAAAACTTTATATTGTCTCAATTACTTTAGTAGTTTAAAACCAGGAGCTATCACAGTTCACAGCCAGGGAAAAAAAAACACATGTGTACACACGCAAGCACACACAAATATAGCTGTCTAGAATATCCCCACTTAATATATCCTCATTTCCCAGAAGTTTGGAAGTCATTTCATGGAGTCAGGTTTCCTGATGCCATGTGGATGCTTTTATTACTCTGTTTTAAACCTAAGGAGAAGAAAACAAGTATTCTATTTACTTTGG